AGCTTAACTGTTTGTACCACCCAGTACGATTGATATGACCTCAGAAGATTCTCTTGAATATTTTCTCTCTTTTCTATCACTGCCACTATTTTCAAGGTGCAGAACATTATTACATCTTATCTGGACCATGGCAACAGCACCTTCATCTATTTTCATTGCTACTCTCAGCTTTCTTTGTCTATCCTTCAAGTGTCATTTCAGAATTAAAAAAAAAAAAAAAATCACCAAAAATAATATTTCTTTTAAATTGTCTTCTACAACTCCTGTCGTATTTAGGATAGAATTCAACATCTTAATATCTAGCAATGATTTGAAAAGAAATCTAAGACTAAAGCATAAACTCAAATTTCCGGAAGAAAACTAAAACAATCAAGGCAGATAGGAGGAATGCCCTGGAGGTCTTGAGACGAAAAGGAGAGTCACTTTCACTGAGGAAGAGGCAGTCCTTGTGTTCTGCATATATAGTATGCCAGGGAGAGGATACAATCATCTACACTAATTTTAGTAGACAGACTAAAGACACCCACCCCCAATGGCATACACAACCTAATCTCTGAAGACTGTGAATATGTTATATGACCTAGCAATAGGAAATTAAGTTCGTATCTGGAGTTCATCTTGTTAATAATGTGTCTTTAACTAAGGAGGCTATAGATTATGTAAGTGGGCTCAATGTTATCACTGTTGTTGTCATTAGGTGCCATCGAGTCGGTACCAACCCATAGCGACCTTATGCACAGCAGAACAAAACACTGCCTGATCCTGGGCCAATCTCACTACTATTGCCACGCTTGAGTCTATCAATGCTGCCACTTGGCAAATCCATCTTGTTGGGGGTCTTCCTCTTTTTCTCTGACCCTCCACCTTACCAAACATGATATCCTTCTCCAGTGACTGGGCCCTCCTGACAATATGTCCGAAGTATGAGCAACGAAGTTTGGACATGTTGGCCTCTAAGGAGCACTCTGGCTGCACTTTTTCCAAATCGGATCTATTGGTACATTTGGAAGTCCATGGCACTTTCAATATTCTCCTCCAACACCATAATTCAAAGGCATCAATTCTTCTACAGCCTTCCTTATTCACTGTCCAGCTTTTGAATGCATATGAGGTTATTGAAAATACCATGGCTTGGGTCAGGTGCACCTTAGTCCTCAAGCTAACATCTTTGCTCTTCAACACTTTAAAAAGGTCTTGTGCAGTAGATTTGCCCAACACAATACATCATTTGACTTCTTGACTGCTGCTTCTGTGAGTGTTGATAGTTGATCCAAGAATAATGAAGTCCTTGACAACTTCAATCTTTTCTCCATTGATAAGAATGTTGTTTATTGCTCAGCATTTCTCAAGCTGGGATAACTGAAGAAAAAATTCAAGCCTTGACTTTTGTTATTGAAAGATTCACTGGGCAAATTATTGGATGATGCAGAAAACATCAAGAGAAGATGGAAGGAATACAGTCACTGTACCAAAAGGAAATGGTTAATGTTCAATCATTTCAAGAGGTAGCGTATGATCAAGAGCCAATGATACTGAAGGCGGAAGTCCAAGGTGTTTTGAAGGAATTGGCAAAGAACAAGGCACCAGGAATTGATGGAATAAAAATAGAAATCTTTCAAGAAAGTGAGGCGGCATGGGAGGTGTTCATTCATCTCTGCCAGGAAATTTGGAAGACAACTATCTGACTGACTGATTGCAAGAGATCCATATTTGTGCCCATTCCAAAGAGAGGTGACCCAATGGATTGCGGTAATCATCGGACAATCTCTGATATCCCATGTGATAAAGTTTTGTTAAAGGTAATACAGAAACGGCTACAATCATACATTGACAGAGAACTTCCAGAGGTTCAAGCCGGATTCAGAAGAGGCCGTGGAACAAGGCCAATGAATCTTGGATGAAAGCAGAAAATATCAGAAAGGTATTTATCTGTGCTTTATTGACTATGCAAAGGCTTTCGATTGTGTGGGTCATGATAAACTATGGACAACATTGAGAAATATGAGTATTCCAGAACACTTAATTGTGCTCATAACGAATCTGTACCTGGACCAAGAAGCAGTTGTTTGAACAGAACATGGGAACAATGAATGTTTTAAGATTTAAAAAGGTGTGCAACAAGGTTGTATTCTTTCACTATACTTATTCAATCTGCATGCTGAGCAAATAAGCTGAGAAACTGGGTTCTATGAAGAAAAACGTGGCATCAGGATTGGAGGAAAGATCATTAAAAATTTTTATTTGCTGATGATACAACCTTGCTTGCTGAAAGTGAAGAGGACTTAAAACATTTACTGATGAAGATCAAAGAGCACAGTCTTCAGTATGGATTACATCTCAATGTAAAGAATGTTATCATAAGGATCCTTAAAAGAAGAAAGGCTGAAAGGGGGCAATTTCAAAGGCATAGATAGCACCATGAGAGAGACTGGGTATGATGCTGTTGATTTTGAAGATAGAATAATAGAACCATGAGGCAAATATTACAGGTGGCTTGTAGAAACTGGAAAAAGAAAGAACCAAATCCCCCTCTGGAGCTTCCAGAAGGAATGCAGCTTTGATGATTCCTTGATTTTAGCCCAGAAATACATATTTTAAATGTCTGATTCTAGTACTGTAATATAATATTGCATTCATATTGCTTAACTTCATTGTTTGTGGTAATACCTTACATCATCAATGAGAAATGAATATATTTGGAGGATGTAGTCTTACTTTGTATCTCTGAGACAGTTCTGATATGGGTTGAAGATAAGAGAAGGACAATGCTGAAGTGAGGGAAGAATGATTGGGGGTGAGAATGCTGCTCCCATTAATTTGATCCCTGCCATCGATTCATAAAGGCTGTTGAATGCATTGGTACCCAAGGGCAACAGTCCCAGTCAAGGTCAAGTGCAAGGATAAGAAAGAAAATTTCTTCCACAGCCCATTCATTCCTTGGGCAATGGTGATGAATGGCAGGGGCAGGTGGGACCATGTCTCAAGGATTTTTCTGGATGGCAGCAATTGCAGGCACTGAGATAAATTAGGAATGGATGAGGCAAACATGCAAGAAATCTGGTACTATTGAGGTATGAATAATGTGTGCAATATGGTGTTTGTGTATGTGTGCGATCATACTTGATTCTGAGACACTCTTCCCACCCAGAAAAACCTAGGTTTATTATTATCTTGCCCCTTAATTGTATCCAAGTTGATGGGTTGAGGAAAAGTGTATTTACAGTCTTTCAAAGTCTTCTATGATCTAACTCGTATGGACACATCCAGCTTCATTTCCTGACCCCTTTCCCTCAGCTTCTAAACCTCCATCTCAGCCATAGTGAATGATTTGCAGTCTTATGCCCATGTCATCCTCTCTCAGGAGTGTAACATTTGCAATGCCCTCACTTCTACTGGGACGCCTAGTTTCTACTTGTTCACAAATGATCTCTTCTATGGGACCCTTTCTTCCTCAGGCTTTCTTTAATCACCACTTCTATATATCAGTCCTCCACCATTCTTTAGTCCTCATTTATTTGTCTTCATGTTGTTGTCACTGGGTGCCATTGAGCCGATTTTGACTCACAGTAATCCCACGTGAGAGAGGAGAACTGACCTATGGGGCTTTCTACGCTGCAATCTTTATAGGAACAGACCAGTGAGTCTTTCTCCAGTGGAGCCCCTGGGTGGGTTTAAAATGCCAACAATTCAGTCAGCAGTTGGGAACTTAACAGATACACTCCCAGGACTCTTTATTTGTCTCCATTGTTGTTGTTAGGTGCCATTGAGATGGTCCCAACTCATGGAGGTCCTATTCGACAGAAAGAAACACAGCTTGGTCCTGACTGATCTTCACAATTTTTGCTTGTTTGAGCCCACGCTGCAGCCAGTGTGTCAATCTATCTCATTGAGGGTCTTCCTCTTTTTCATTGATCCTCCCCATTTGTCTTCATATTGTTGTTATGTGCTATCCAGTTAGTTCCAACTCATATTACCCTGTATAGACTTTCCAAGAAGCAGCTGGTGGGTTTGAACCACTAACCTTGTGGTTCTCAGTTCAGTGCTGAGCCTTCAGCACTACACCAGGAGTCTTCATAGTACTTGTTATCATCTAACAGTTTGTTGTTTTGTTGTTGTTAGTCTGTTGTTTATTTGTTTATGGTTGTTTCCTATGACAGACTATAAACTCCATGAAGGCAGGAATTATCCTCTTAATCACTTTAGTGTCCAGTACTTGGAAACTTCCTGGCACAGAGTAGGTGTTCACTAAATGTATGCTGAATAACTACATAACTTGTCTAGTCAGGCCTTCCCATTTTACAGATGAGGAAGGTGAGGCTCAGTGACAGAATCTCTCTCACAATCACATACCAGGGGGAGGCAGTACTGGGTTCTTGATCACGGTAGTATGCCTTAGCATTAACAATCAGCTGCTGTGGAGTCAACGTTGACTCATGGTGACCCCATGCATGTCACTGTAGAACTGGATCCTATAGGGGTTGCAGTGGATAATTTTCCCAAACTAGACCTCCAGACTTTTCTTCCCAGGAGCCTCTGGGTCTACTCAAATCATTAACTTTTTTTTTTTTTTTTTGGATTAGCATCCAAGTATGTTATTCTAACTCTCTTAAAAAACTCAGTTATTTGTTTTTAATAATTGTCAAAATTTGTCAAATGATACTTACCAAGCCAGAATGGGAGGCTGACAGAATATAATGTTTTGTCTGTGGCTGACTTCACAGCTAATGCATTTGTTGATACATTAATAACAGTAGCAGTAATAATAATTAATTATGATCATTATGTACAGTTATGTTTAACCCATGAATCAACAATTGTACTGTGTTTGGACACTTTTTTGCATCCAAGATTTATACTGTCACTTCCTCCGGGTAGAACGATACTTTTAATCCTACCAGGTGTAGTGCACACACATAGAGTGCTAAGTTCTCTCTAGTGACACCTACTTTCTATACTCAATCATTTCTCCACTCTCTGAAACACACAAGCTCTTTACTTACCTTCCAGAATACCGAGCTCCACCTGCTAGGTGATCTCTGGATCTGGAAATCATCCTCATACTCCCTGATTGAGGTGGTACAGTCCTCATAAAACTGGTGCAGGTAGGATCGGACACCGTAGTACTGGTACCCACCCTCAGTTGTCGCCTGTGGCTGCTTGGAACTGCAGATGTTGCTGCAAGAACTCATCTTTCCCAGCTGTAATGACAACATCCATGTGCATCAGTCCTATGGGCTCTGCCTTCAGACTCAAAGCGTATATTAAAGGGGGGAACTGAACTGAGTATGTCTATTTGAACAGTGTTTTTTTTTTTCTTAAAAGAAACATGTCTTGTAAAGACTTTTATTTATTATCACTTTTGCTTCTTTTCTGTTTAATATAAAATTATTCCCAAGTACTTAACAACCAGTATTGGCTCTCCATCCTGGTGTGGTGCTGTGGGTTAAGATGCTGGAATGAAAAGTCAGTTTGAACTGCAAGGTCGATGGTTCAACCTTACCAGTTGCTCCTTGGAAAGCCTATATAGGGTTACTATGAGTCAGAACTGACTAGATAGCAAGTAAACCAAACTGCAAACAGCATTAAAAGTCAAGCCAAACTAAAACTAGTTGTCTCTGAGTCAATTTTGACTCATGATAACCTCATCCGTGCAGACTAGAACTGCTCTCTAGGGTTCTCAAGACCTTTTGAAAGAAGATTGTCAGGTTTTTCTCAGATACCTCTGAGTAGGTTTGAACCTTTAACCTTTCAGTCTTGTACTTAGCCATTTACGTCACCCTGTCAAGTTCACTTAAATTATACAAAAAATTTGAAGCATGAGCCACACGAGAAATAATAGTCTAGAGACTGCGATTTTCATTCCCTTGGCCAGAAACATATAATTGCTTAGAATATAATTACATATAACATAATGTTATGTGTAGAAATAGGAGATGTTTTCTCCCTGGCTACAGATGGAATTGATCTTGGGCTGTCGGCTCAGATTTTTAACCTCATTCCCTTGCGGTATCCAAATGGTATAACTCTTACTAGTGTGAAAGTTGGCTTTCTGGTCTTATGTATCTTCTCCTAATATAAAATTGAGTTCTCAAATTGTACAGATGTTTTATTAAGAAAATGCTAAGCTATGAATAGGGTCCTACTTATTTTTAGGCAGCCAACGGTATTAGAAATGCAAGGAGATCGCAAATAATAATTTTTAAAAGTATATACTTTTTCCAAAAACAAACACAGATAGCCTTCCATCACATCACTTCTACCTCATATAGACCTTACAGGACAAGATAGAACATTCCATAGGATTTCCAAGACTTTAATCTTTATGGAAGCAGACTGTCACATCATTTTCTTATGGCACAGCTGGTGGATTCGAACTGCCAACCTTTTGGTCAGTAGCCTACTGCTTGACACTTGCAATGCAAGGGCTCCTCATGCTAGTCTCAGGGGGAGTAAGTATTATTGCAGCTGGAAGAAAGACTTTGTTCCATGAACAGAGATGCTAGAGGTAAAACAAACTGGAGGGTATTGATGAGAAAGGGCATCACTTTATTGATCTGCCTGTCTGTTATCATTTAGTACTTCAGAGATCAGCTTTGACTTACTAAGTGAAAACATGCAGGTGTATTGGTGAAGTGATGCCCTTCCACATCAATCTATTTTGGTTTGTTTTACCTCTAGCTTCTCCATCAATTGAGCAGAGTACTTCATAAATCAGCTTTGGTGTTCTGGTATGGCACTGTAAGGTAAGAACTAGACTTAAGAGTCGGTTTGAACTTCAAGGTCAGTGGTTCAAACTCACCAGCTGCTCCTCAGAAACCCTAGACAGCAGGGGTGAGGAACATCTGGTCCACAGGCCATCCAAGGCCCTGCAAATCATTTGATATGGCCCTGTCAAGGCAACCAAAGTTCCAGCCATCAGCCATCACATTGTTGTTGGTGGTGGTGGGTGCCATAGAGTCGGTTCTGACTAGTGGTGCCCCTGTATAGGGTTTCCAAGGAGTGGTTGATGGGTTTGGACTGCCAACCTTGTGTTTTGAACTGACCTTGTGGTCCAGGGCTTTGTCCTACAGCATCACACCAGGGCTTCAGACATCACATTAGGGTGAATTAATCAAATGTTTGACTAAATACAGCAAGCTAATTTTTAATTTGGTAATTTTGTATGGCCTGCAAATGAAGTGATTTATTTTGGCAGAAAAAAGGTTCCCCCTCATAGGGTCGCTGTGAGTTGGAACTGACTCAGTGACACTTAACTACAGGTCAGCTTTGGTTCCACACAACCTTCATGAAGTCCAATTAACATCTTTTGTTGCCATCCTTCCAGGAGTCTGGTCAGTCGAGGATATGTTTTCTTTAAAAAAATGAAAGAAATCTATTTCCTTCAACTCCTCTAGGATGATCCAAAGGCTACAGTCCTGACCTGACATGAAGGAGCAAATGGTCATGGCTGACTTTGCAGGACTCTTGGGGGCTTTTCCTGCTCACTATCCTCCTGGTATGGTTCTGTGGGGTAAGTAGCAGACTGTGATACACAAGGTTGGTGGTTCAAACCCCATAGCTGCTTCTCGGAAGCCCTGTACAGGGTCACTGTGAGTCAGAACCAACTGGACAGCACCTAACAACAACATCCTGCTGCTTAATGAAATGACTGCATTCTTCTATCAGGTCCACCACTTGAGTTAACTTTGGGCAAGGAGACAACACGTTTTTTAGCTGGTTTTGGTTCTAGTCCTTTGATATTAATCCAACTTTAGCAATTCTCTGGAGAATCCATCCTAGTTCACTTGAATCAAAATCCGAGCTAATAAAAGTATATTTTGAAAAAAAAAAGAGAGAGAGAGAGAGAGAAAGAAAATGCTGAGCAATTTATACTTCAAGAGTCATTAGTCCTAAATGGCCTAGCTGATAATGTATGCCTCACTCACTTTGTAAAGATTACGGCCTTTGAAACTCTACGTGGGGTCAGAACTGACCCAACAGCCCAGAGCAACAGCAGCAGCACTCACACTGACACCATATATTTCAGTCACTGATCATGAAGACATCCGTCCATGTGGTATGATAGGCTGTACCGTGCAGTGCAGACCCAAAACTCACAATGTAAGTCAGAATTAAGACTTGTTAGATGAAACTATGCCTTGGGTGGGCTGCATGGGACTCTGTCTTCTTCAGATGCAAATTTCAATTTGTCCAAATTGTACCCTATTATTAGTTGGCATTGAGTTAATTTCCACTCATAGTGACCCCATGTAACCCCATGTGTGCTGAGTAGAGCTGCTCCAGAGGGTTTTCAAGACTGTGACCTGTCCGACGCAGATTGCCAGACTTGTCTCTCGTTAGGTTCAAACTACCAAACTACTACACAGGGACTTCTAATACCCTTGTTGTTCAGTGCCATTGAGTCGGTTCCAACTCATAGTGACCTTGTATAGGGTCAACCTTGGGGTTCCAAGTTCAGTGAATATCATACAGAGCCACCTCACTCTTCCAATACCCTTAAAGAAGGGCGTTCACAGAAATTTGATTATCAACTCATGGTTAAAAAAATGGTGTTGCTGAGAAACAATCATTTTGCTAAATAAGAGAATTTCCAGTTGTATTGTGCTGTTGAGTCGGTTCTGACTCCTGGTGACCCCATGTGTAGAACTGTGCTATGTCAGGTTTTCTTGGCTGCGATTTTTAAGGAAGTTGCTTGCCAAGCCCATCTCCTGAGGCACTTCTGGGCAGGTTCCAATCACCAACCTTACCATTACCAGCCAAGTGGAAAGCGTACCACTCGGTCAGATGCTGCTGGAAATCCTTGTTTGGATTTTCCAATTACATTTCAGATTGTTTTCTTTATGTGGACATAATCAGTCTCCATGTGGCAAAGTGAAGAACAATATAGAAGGTTATTTTCTCATGGAACTAAGTTCTCTCAGGGTTTGTGTACAATCAGGTCTTATTGAAGGCTTATTAAATCTTTCTGATTACTTAGCAAGAAGGCAACTAGTAATGCTTTTCCACAAGTGAAAAAATGAATCAAGTGCCCATATGTGGCCACTTAGTTTGGCTGAATAGAACAATGGGACTAAAATTAAAGTTGAAGCCAGGAATAGTTAGCATTATTCTGTCTGTTGGCCACAAAGTCAACCCAATGGAACATCTTGCAAATGAATGCCCTTAAGTCCAAAATAGGTTTTGTTAAAAACTGTAGTCAGATTCAGGACAACCTGAATCTTCCTATCTCAGAAGGATTATGCAAATAGGTGCTACTGATGATGGATGGCAAGCTACATCACCCTGTAACTGTTGGTCAATATTACATGTACTACCAACTTCTCTGCGCATTGTTCCAGTTTTATGTGTAACTTTGTCATTGAGTTGATTCTCACTCATAGTAACCCTACAAGATAGGGTGGAACTCTCCTAGGCTTTCTAAGGCTGAAATCTTAATAGAAACCAACTACCACATCTTTCTTCCATGGAGTGACTGGTGGGTTTGAAATGCTGATCTTTTGGTCAGCAGGTGTGTGCTTTCACCATGGTGTCACCAGGACTCCTGTTTCAGGTACAGCTGCCATCATTTAGGAGGAGAGTATAGAGGAGGCCAACATATTATTTGTTCTCTTTTCTTTAATTAAAAAAATTCCAGAGGTACTCATAGATAATTTTATGGAAATGTCAAGGTTTTAGAATGTACTCTTACTGATGAGAGCATCAAAATCTGATGGATCAAAAGAATGCTGACCTAGTTTCCGTATTTTAAGCATTATGATGAGCCCTCCAGTACCTTCTATTCAATGACAATACAACGAAGATGATTAACAAGAGCCTATTACTAGAATAGTTTAAAAGATATTTTTTCTAAGACATGATAAAACTTCAATCAAAGAGAGCTAGGGTTTGCATTAGTAATCCTGCTTTGTCACTGAAGAAACTGAGGCATAGGAAAATCATCTGCTAAAGGTTATACCATGAGTCAGGGAACCAATGAAACAGGATAGTTAATTAATAATGGACTGAATCATGGACTTGCAAATTCAGAACCAGCTCACCTACATATATATTTTCAGGTTTTCTACATATGACTAGAGACTTTAACATGAAAAAAGTTACCAAAATCAATACGATAGATGTTAAAAGATTTCCTCATAGTAAAGTTAGAGTTATTTTCCTTAGATGTTGAAAGTCATTCTTTCTCAGGATT